TGGAGTCAGTCTTGCTGGTTTTACAAATGCCCCTTCCTCCTGAAAAACTGCCCCGAAAGTCTTGTTTGAGGTCGTTCATACAGCGTGAAAGTCTGTTGCCTTTTTCGCTTTTTTCTTCATTTTTTTGTTGGCGAATCTGCCGAGAGGACCACATGGTCACCACTGGCGGAGAATTGAAACCGCAGCAGGGAAAAAAGGGCCGGGGAAATAGTAACAGATGTCCTCGAACGAACACTGTTGACAATGACGGGAATTTAATTTTGAATATGGAAAACGGAAGTGTTGCGGTTCATTAACTTGGTGCAGCTTTAATAATATGAGTCATTTCAAATATTTAAATTCATTTAAAATTCTTACGATATTTTTAGGGGAAAAAAGGAAGAAAAACAGAAAGCAATGTTGAGTTAAATATTATAAATTCTTTAAAATATTAAAACTCCGTCCGAATTAAAAAAGATAATTTATAAAAAAATACCCTCTGCAAGGGTATAAAAAGATATCAGACAAGTTCAAGGCAATCCAAAAATACAGTTAGAAAATACATACAAAAAATATAAAATAGTGTCTTGCGATCATATTTATAATATACTTCTAAATTATTTTATAATATAGGGACTTCAATTTGTATTATGGTTTCCAAAAAAAAACTCTAAGATACGTTTTAATTTAATGAACATACAAGATAGCTAACTTTATTCTTAAATTTACCCATTTAAAACGATACTTCCTATGCACTTGGGTAAAATGTTTGCTTCACTGCGAGAATTTTCATCTGAAGACCATTTTTCTCTGGTGAAATTCCCAGTTCTAGTTATGTTTCTATCTTTACCGCACTGCCGGACTGCTCATTTTCCTTTTTCCGCGCCATATCTCTTGCGAGGGCTTCGGGCGGGGCCACATGGCGTATGCTTAATTTTGTTGCCACTTTGACAACTTGACTGTTTGCCTGCAGGCTATGTGGGTGTGTGGTGTGCTTGTGTGGGTGCCTGCGTGATGGTGTGTGGGTGAGCTGACCAAAGGAGTCCTGAAAAAGATGAGTTCAGGTAAGCCGGGCTGAGCTGAAATAAGGTGTTGTCTGCCAGCAATTAAAAGGACTTTATCACAAGTACATTAAAATATACCTGGGAACTAGAGAAATCCGGTGGAAAAGCGGGCAAAGGGCGAGGGGCAAAGGGACCAACCAACAAACAACCTAATTAACTTGTCAAAAATGCAGACTCTGCTCACCGGCCCAAAAGAAAAGGCAAAGGAAAACAGGACCAAAAAAAAAGAAAAGGAAAACAAACAAAGGCAATGGCAGTTATCCCCAGTTTTTGCCTAAGTGCCCGGCTTACGGTTCTATTAAAATTTCAATTAAATATTTTCCTTTTCCTCTCCACCCGTACACCCAACATACCCAAAATACCGGCAACGCAGTACTTATGTGCTTTAATTATTGTTTTTATAATTATTATAATTATGATTGCGAGACAGCGAACCCACGATCCTCCGGGGGTTTTAGGCGACAGCAGCAAAGGAGCCTGGGAAACTTGCGGCGGAAATTGGGGGAAAAGTGCGGAGCTCTGGATTTCACAGTAGAAGAAACTTTACGCGGCCATTTCGCACGCAAATGTTTAATTATTGAAAATGCCTGGCTGAGGAAAACCAAATGGGGAAATGCGGAAATGTGTGCGGAAAAGGGGGAAAGTCGAGGAATGCCTATGGTTGCTGAGACAACAAAAATCTGTTTACGTGATTTTCTCCATCTTTGTTTGTGTGTGACTTTGTCGCACATGGAAAATCCAGGCAAATAAAAATAGAGGAAGAAAAGTTAAGGAAAGCTGTGGAAAACTATGGCTGGGCCAAAACAACAGGAACACACAGAACAAAATAATAAGCAATTTCGTTAAAACAACTAGGGCTCTATAATCTAGAATATATATACATGTTTTGAAGCCGGAAAGAGAAATATATTTTTTTATAGCATACATTTGGACTCCTTTTATAAGAATGTTAAACATTTGTGATAAGTCGTTAAAGGTTTCGCATTTGCTCTAATACAGAATCCTAATTTTTCTCTTCTCAAGTATATATATTCGGGCGTGCCACACTAATAAATAGGGTTTCAAAGTCACTTGGAATCGAATTTAAGGTGTCGAAAAGTATGCAACATTATATTTTAGGCTTCTGTTCCTCATTCACTGCATACATCTATACACCTAAATTGATATTTAAAAGTGATTTCCAAATTTGTGTGTCACTCACCATTACTTAAAATAGTTTGGCTATTGAAATTTCTTGCAGTGCACCGCAAACATACGCAGACAGACACAGAGTTGAACTAAAGCTGCGACAAAGACATGCAGACAGAAAAACCGGCGGACAGACGGGGCCACACACGTAGGTACAAGCAATCCTGCTGCACTTGTCACGACTAGGAAAATGTCCCAACCTCTGCCCCCGACCTCCTCCTCCTGATCCTGGTCTCTTCCTCGACGCTTTCAAAAGAGCGCCGCAAGCAGTTTGCCTTCAACTTGAGCCACCACCTTTACGAGTTTGATGCACTGGAAAAATATTCGCAGAAACAATTTCTTTAAAGTAGCTTTCTCTCCGTTTTGGGTAGGTATTACCTAATATTTAAACATTAAATACTTCTATTGTTTTAAAAATTTAATTATCGGGGAAACAAACACATAAAGAGAGGGTATAACCACCTAGAAAAGGTGCCTAAAAGTATGCTGTATAAAATGTAACGTAGTTTTTCGGTATTTCTTATTTTACCTATTCAAATATTTTTATTACCACCTTTTAAAGGTGTCTTAAAGTATGCTGTATAAAATATGATGAGAGAGTGTAATAAAGTTCTAAGGCTAACATTTTTTTTAAATGGCGCCCAACAGAAATTCTTTAGAAAAATGGGTAATAGGACTTTCAAAGTCTACATTTCCAAAATTATTAATTTATTTTAAACTAGTTCTGTTTTTTCCCAGTGTGATGCTGTTGCTGCGCGACTTTGTTTGAGCCGGCGGTTTTGGCAGCTCGACTCCCCACGCTTCTGTTGCAATGTCTCCATTTGGCTGTCTGGTCTCCGGCTACGTGTCTATTCAAATTCTCGCCAAGATACCCTGTAACCAGCGGGGAAGTGGAAGTGCCTGCCTGTCTGGCACTCTGGCACTCTCCAGCACTCGATCGCTGCCGTATCCAACATTTGATTTAACTTTATTTCGGGCGGAAACTTGGGGAAACTGAAACTGCCTCGAAAGTCAAAAGAGAGATTCGCAAATTAAATTGGAATTATTTGGCAAATGTGCAGCAACGTAGGGGGATATAAAAATAAAGAAACAGAGCAAAAAACATCCACAAATAAAGCGCAATGGAGTGCGGAGTACTACATTTTATGCAAATCAAGTGACAGATTTTCACCCCTGGCACGTGAGCGAGAAAATGGTGAAAAACAGGTGAAATAAAACGTTTTGGGTAATTGAAAAGCTGCAGTGACAAATGCATCACTACAGCAGCCATCTCCCTCTTATCGCTGTATACCCGTCTCTCTCGTATCGCCCCATCCCCGTCTCTTTCTCGTCTGGGGCTTTATGCCTCAGTTTGCCGGTGATTTGTGCGTGGCCGTTATTCGATAAGCATTTAAGTAATTAAATGCACGCCCGTTGCGATTGATAAACGAGCTGCCTTCTCCCCACTCCACCGCCAACCGTCTCGCCCCGATCGGCCGTATACGGTCTTTAGTGGGATATACGTGATATATCATTGCCCTGGGTATTTTTTCTGTATTTCCACTGGGTTTCATAAGGGAACCCATATCTGCACTTCTACAATCCATAACTTGGGTAATTCGATACCGATTTTCAAGTGGGATACCCCTATGAATTTGTTGTTGAACTCGCTTATATTGTACATTAAAATCTTTCTTTTAAACGAGGGTCAACATTTTAACCCATTTTCATGTTCGATTTTTCAGTATTTCCACTGGATTTCATAATGGGAACCAAAAACTGCACTTCTACAATCCATAACTTTGGTAATCTCATACCGATTTTCAAGTTGGATACCTCTATGAGTTTGTGGTTGCATTATCTAACATTCTACATCAAAACCTCTCTTTTAAACGAGGGTCAAAATTTTAACTCATTTTCATGTTCGATTTTTCAGTATTTTCAATGGGTCTCATAAAGGGAACCCATATCTGCACTTCTACAATCCATAACTTGGGTAATTCGATACCGATTTTCAAGTGGGATACCTCTATGAGTTTGTGGTTGAATTATCTAACATTCTGCATCAAAATCTCTCTTTTAAACGAGGGTCAAAATTTTAACCCATTTTCATGTTCGATTTTTCAGTATTTCCACTGGGTTTCATAAAGGGAACCAAAATCTGCACTTCTACAATCCATAACTTGGATAATCTGATATCAATTTTCAAGTGGGATACCTCTATGAGTTTGTGGTTAAATTTTCTAATAATCTTTCCTTTAAACGAGGGTCAAAATTTTAACCCATTTTTATGTTCGATTTTTTAGTATTTCCCCTGGGTCTAATAATGGGAACCCAAAACTGCACTTCTACAATCCATAACTTTTGTTATATGATACCGATTTTCAAGTGGGATACCTCTATGAGTTTGTGGTTGAACTTCCTAATGTTCTACATTAAAATCTATCTTTTAAACGAGGGTCAAAATTTAAACCATTCTTTTCATGGCACACTTTCCGACACCTTTAATAGGGGATTTTAAAACGATGGTAAACAGCAATTTAAATAATATAGTATTTAAATGCCCTACGACCACTTGATAGTTCTCATCACACCTAATTAAATCCATCGGTGTTCCATAAGTATTTCCAAGTTCAAGTCGAAAAGGTTTAGAAGGAGGCTTCCCGAACACATGACCCCATGCCATTTCCAGGGGAAAGCGCGTTAATTTCTGAATATTTAATTGCATTTAAACGGCTGCCAATGGAGGCCTGTGAGTTCCCATGCCAAGGACAAGAAGCGAGTCGATGATTATGCGTAAATAATAAATTGTTGCTTTATTGAATTTCATTCCATTAAAATGTTACCACATAATGAGATGTGTATACATGTATGTGTTGGGTTGTTTTCCGTGTTGTGTCTTTCATTTTTTTTTAATACGCTGATACCTTTGAAGGTCTTCCCATTTCGACTGCCTGTTTCCTGTTTTTTTATTTCAACTCAAATTCCAATTAAATTGTACAACAAACAAACAGCGAACATTTCGGCGAGCCCGGAAAATCGAAATCGGATCTCGTTTTCACTTCAACTTAAAGAGTTTACATTTTACATTTTAAAGTTGGGCCACAAAGAAGCTTTTTTATCAATTCAAATCCAAAAAAAAAAAGAAGAAGAAATTTCTTTTTATGAATCCAGTTTGAGAAATATTTTTGCCACTGCGCTTAGTTTTAATTGCCTGGCGCATTTGCCTTTTTTCCTCTTCACGTTTCGCTTTTGATATGTTAATTACACCGCATTGCATTCGCTCCCCTTCTTTTCCACTTCCGCTTTATCCGTCTTGCTTATGAAATTTTCATTTCCGCTCACATACTTTGTGTCAGTGTGCGTGTGTATAAACTCGTAATTCGGCTTAAGCTGTGGGAATGCATTTTTTGTTTTTGTTCTGCTTTCTTTTATTTTTCTACACAAAGTATTTTTCATTTCTTAAGTTTTCGACTTATTTTTGAGGGAATTTTCCAGAGTTTTTCATCCTCTCCGTTTTGCACTTTTATTGCCTTTTTTAATGTTGTCTGTATGAATTAACTTTGTGTGTAATATTCGCTTCAGACTGTCAAAACCTTAAAATTGTGGGAAATTTTGAAAATATTGTACAATTTTAAATAAAAGTTTTCTGCCTTTTAATTAAATAGTTTTTGTATTTGGAAATGTCTTTGGTTTTATGTAAGTAATTTTTTAATTCACCAGAAAGTGCCTATAAAAATATTCCTTAATTTTTGCAAAATGTGTTACTTTGGTTTAACGAAATAAAAACTAAATAATAAACTTAAATTTCCCAATATTCCTTTTTTCTAACTTCCAGTCCGAAGCAAACATTTTAACATCTATAATTGTCTTTCTTTCGTCTTGATATGTTGTTTTTTAAGCATTGTTTTCTGTTCGTTTGCTTTCTTTAACCACTAAAACTTATTCTTTGCTTTGTTCTGGCTAATTGAATAATTTTTAAGTTTTGTGCAACATTGTTCTCCGTCGTCTTCTGCTCAATTTCTTTTTCCTTAACTTTGTTTTCATTGTTTTTCGTTTAATTTTGAAACCTATTTCGATGGATTTTGCGTGCAAGGGCGACGAGGAAAGCTTTCATGTGTTTGTGCGTGGAGAATAGTGCTGCCATTTTTCCTTTATCCCAAAAGATTTTTCCTTTAATTTTGTAAAAAAAAAATACTAAAAAATAGCTTGGGGTTCAGCAAAAAATGTAATAATTATAGGTAGATAATAGAAAATATTAAAATAAACTGTTTGTAAGCTTAAACATATTTTTGTCTAATCTGCCTGGTAAACGTTTTTTTGCTGGCAGCACTTTTGGAGAGGATTTTTTTTTCTAACAATTTCTTCTAATTTTCAGCTACTTTACACTGAGAAGCAATGCCTTCTAAAACTAAATGAAATCCAATCGAAACCAAGGCGCAAAATCAACATATTTTTTCGATTATCACTTTTTGATTCCTAACAGCTCTTTAGTGTGTCTGTGTGTTCTCGTATATATGTATGTGGTTGTGTGTGTGTCTACAGGTGTTTTTCGCTATTTATACACAAAAAAAATATTTTCGCTTAACTTTAGTTTTACATTTTTTTTTTCCTTTTTCTCTTTATTTTATTATTTACTTTTTCTAACGTTTATCGTTGAATGTTTTTTATATATTCACCACACAAAAAAATCGTTTTCGACAATTATCTCTATATCCTTAGATTCGCTTCCTTCGTCCCTTGAAGAACATAAAAGACCAAAAATAACACATCCGAAAGCGGCGACTATAATATAGTACTAGAATTATGTTTAGATTTTGAGTTGGTAACATGTCTGGAAAGGGGAGTGGGAATTTTACAAATATATCTGTTGAAAAGGGGGAAGATTCTGGCTGGCATCGGTTTGTTGTGGCTCGAAAATTGTCTGAAAGGTTTCATAAAAACATAAAAATACATTAAGGAAAAGTTTTTCTTCATACCTTTCATAATATCAGTCGAAAGTTGACAACTCAATTTTTAAAGAATCAAAAAATTTCAATAATTTTCTTTTCCTTAAAGATGCATTAAAAAATACGTTGGATTATTATTGTTCCAGTATTCTATTGTCAATTTAACAGGTTTTATTTCCAAATTGACCATGTATATATTTTTAAGTGTAAAATGCTTAAAACACTTTTGTAATAGGATTCATTCTTAATTTTTTTGGAAAATATTTCAAACTAAGTTTGCAAAAAATTTCAAGAGCATTTCGGTTGATTTTATTTAAGAAGCTCTTTGACTTGGGTTAACATGGACTTTAGTTAGTTATTCGTTTTTTTTAAATATATATTCCCGATAAATCCCCTTGCCACCCGTTGCTACCAACTCATCGTTAATTTTCCTTTACCCTTCCTCTTCTGCTATTTCTCCATTTTCAGCTTTTCCACTGCTGCACAAATTCGCGGCTTAAGGCATCGGAAAGTGATTCTGCTCAAAGTCTTTGTGTCGCTCCGCCAGCGATTTCTCCAGCCGTCGATCCGTGATGGCCACGAATGGCAGACGGGACTGCTTGCCTCTACTGCTGCCCAGCCCGGATGCACTTGCTCCGCCCAGGCCGATGCCATCGATCACGCGATGGTAGACAAAGGAGTTGAGGGGCGAGGGATCTCCCCGTCCGCCTCCGGGGGTTCCTCCTCCTGATCCTCCTGATCCACCTGATCCACCTCCGCCCCCTTCGGTGCCTCCCCCGCCGGCTGGCTTCTCCGTGGAATTACCCGTCTCCAAACGGGGCCAACTACTTTGACCCCTTCCAGCCACATTGGCCACAAACTGGGCACTCCGGCTGCGACTGCGCGGTGTGCCCAGAAAGCTGCCCGCGATGGCTGGATAGGATGGTAGCTTGTAGAGCGCTGGCTTCGGCGTGGTTGATGTGGATGCGGATGCGGATAAACCGCCCACCTTCCTGGCCATTTCGCGCTGCCAAAAGTCGAGGGTTTCGGGTGCAGGATCGCCGGAAGCCACCTCGCCAGAAGCCACAGGGGCATCTTCCTCGGGCAACTGATTGCTGGGTGGTGGCGATGACGAGGTCGCTGGAACTGGATCTGGATCCTTCTGGGCCGGGGTAACCTCCTCTTTTGGCGAGGCAGCCGTACTGAAACGACTCCTTTGCTGGGCAAACAAATCCTCGAAACGCTGATGCTGATGGTAGCGACGCCTCTTCTCCTTGAGGTACTCATCATCCAGCCGGATACTTTCGGTGCTGCCCAGGGAGTTCTGGCCGGGATTCATGGTGGGTGTGGGCAGGGTGCCCTCGAGAAGGTTGAGCAGTTGCTTGTTCCGCCGGTTGTACTTCTTGATGTAGGGCGGCAGGTTGGCCTCCTCGCCGCGCTCCTGCTGGGCCTCCTCCAGCTCGGCGGCACTCTCGTAGTCGTCCTCGTAGTCGGCATACAGTTCGGGATGCGATTCGCGGTAGTGCTCGTCGTAGACCTGGAACTGCACCCTGGCTAGATGGGGCCACTTGGCGTAGTACCGCTCGAGATGCTCCAGCTCGGTGATCTGATGGCCCAGCTGGGGCTTCGGCGGTGGCAATGGTGGAGTGGGTGGTGGGGGCGGTGGTGGTGGTGCTGCTGCTGCCACTACTGATGGACTTCCCACCGCAGGAGCCTTCCTCTGATAGGGATTGCTGGGTCGAGGTCTCAGGTGTGTGGACTTGTGGTGATGGTGATTGTGACTCTGGTGATGATGATGATGGTGGTGGTGGTGGTGGTGCTGCTGATGCGGATGCTGCTGCTGGTGACCCAGGTGACCATCCCTGTGGTGGTGCTCCTTCAGCGGCGGGTCACTCTTGATGCCATTCCTCAGAACCGGACTGATGCGACGATACCAGTTGCCATTATCGTGGGCAATCAGGCGCTCCATTTCCGTGTGGTGCTTGAGATCCACATCCAACGGGGGCTGGTTGTCGTAGTAGTTGACCTGACCCTCGTAGAAGGGCTTGCCGGTGGCGGGCAAAGGTCGCTGGGGTCGCAGTCCCAGGGCAAAGATCGGTGGCGAGTGCGTGGATCGTTCCCGCTCCTTCTGCAACTTCTGAAGGTGTCTGGCTGAGATGGTGGGTGCTGGGTTATTAATTTCCGCCGGCGGCTCTGTCGCTTCCATCTTCGGGTGCCTCTTCAGGTAGTCCTTGTACCGCTTCTTGTGGCTCTTGTGCCCCGTCCTCTGGCGACTCCTTCGCAGCGCCTTAAAGCGCTCAAAGGCCGACGAGGGGGCGGCGGTGACAGAGGGTGTGGCTGTGACGCAAAAAATAAGGAAAAAACGAGAATAAAATTGTTGTTAGTCTCGGCACGCTTTTTAGGGCTCGGAAGTAATAGATTTCTATTAGGCCAACGGACAACAAGAGCTTCTCTTGCCCAATGCCCTAGGAAAATACCAAGAGGGTAGTATGATTTTCACCAAGTTTGGCAAACAGAAAAATATCAAAAAGGTGGCCCAAAAATGTCTTTCGTTTGCCAATAGCTTGTTTATTCGGGTTCTGATTACAAAGATTTTCATACCTCTAAATGTTTGCAGATTTTTTTAGCTTTAAATGTGCATTATGATGTATTATTGGTCAAATTTTTAGCCACTAGTTCGGTTTTATTTTAAAAAGGTAGCCGCAAATGCCGTTATTTCACTCATAACTTGTCTAAAGGTTCGTGGCTTAACTATCGAATTATGTAAAAAAAAATCCTATATTTATAAATATATTATTCTAGGGTATGTGGGGCGATTCTTGCTAATCTTGGCCTTCTTTCTCGTTTGACCCAGCTCAATGTTGGTCCTGAAATCCTTACAAACCACACAAAATCCCTAGGACCACCGCTCCACAACATCAAAACCCCTCTTCCCCTCGAAAAACCACACACAAATTCATTTCAACTTGATTTGTGCCAGCGAGGGAGGCGTCAGAACTCCCAAGAAATAACCAACGAATTTATGGCGAACTCTCGAATCGACCCGGGCATTTCCTTCTTCTAGTCAAGGCACGTCTGCCATCGCCGCCCCCGCAGAACATCATTTCTTGGCCAATCCTCTGGACAGATTTTGTTGCTTCCGTTTCGGAATATATATATATATATATATTTGCTATTTTGTGAGCTTTATTGTTTAATGCCAGGAAATGGCAGAGGGGAGAGGTGTGAGCATATTCCCCAAAGAAAGCTAAACTTTTTTCGTTTGATTTCTTGCCTTGGATAAAAATTGAAAGAAAATTTGCATACACTTCACTTTGGCTAAACTAATTAGGGGAATATAGAATTTTAGATTTAACGCTCTTAAAGTACAATTTGCATTTGAGTTAAAGTCAGTTGCAGACTTTTCATTACCCCTTGCCAGATGTGTTTGTCAGAACACACATATATCCCTCTGTCTGAGGGGCTTCGGCTGTGGAGTGTAGAATGCTTTGGGGATTTCCTTTACATATTTTCAATTTACGGCAGGCACACATAGCGGTACACACGTCCACATAGCTGACTTTGATGGGATCTCTAACTGGGGTCCGAAAACCGAAAACTGCCAAGCGAAACCGAACGAGCGAGTGGAATGTGCGCTACAGTGGGTCAAAAGCGGATGTTTCAGTGCAGTCCGAAATTCCTATTGACAAAGGCATTTTTCCCGGTTCGGCAATCAAAGGAAATTGAAATGAGGTACAGTACTTCAAATGCTCAACTGCAAAATTGAGTATGTTAAAGCCTCAAAGTAAGAAATAAGTTCATTTTCCTTTAAGAAAAAGATTCAAAATTAATTATAGTACAAATCTCTAGTGTTGTAAAAATCAAAAATGCAGGAAAAACAAAAGAATGCAATTTTTCAGGAATGAACCCACATAATCTCGGACTTAAAATATTTTGTTGCATACTTTTCAACACCTTTGTAAATACTTTCGAATGCCACGTTTACAACCTTCTATTGACTTGGAAAAACTTAACGTTTTTTTATAGTTTTAAATACAATTTTTAATTTTTTTAATCACTTTTTTTTTGTAATATTCTGTGGCACCTGTAATATAAAACCTTATCTCGTCTTAAAAAGGAAACCTAATTAAGTGGTTTTAAAATTTGTATTAGTGACTCGTAAGTTAAAAACATTTATTTATAAGCTCCTAAGAATACCAAAATTTTCTAAGCCCACTATACTGTGCCTTTCAACTTAGCATTCAGTTTGTATTTATTTTATTTTGCTTGTTTCACAGTTCTATATGCCAACGACTTACCCTCATGATATCGCTGCAATGCAGATTCCGAATCAGATTCCAGTTTGCCGTCCTCCAGTTGCTCCTGGTCCTGTTCCTCCTCCAGCTTTTCAGCGGATTTCTCCCAGGGATTTTCCGGCTTGGACTTTTCCGCCGGCGGCTGCTGTTCGGCATAGTCGTCGTCCACGTAACGTGTTGCATGTTGCTGCGGTGCAACAACATGTTGCAGCTGCTGCTGTTGCTTCTTCTCAGTGGCATTCAATTTGCCAGCATAGTAGCTGGCCAAGTAATTCTCCTCGGATTTTTCCGGATCGAAAGTGACCAACTTTCTGGGATTGCTGCTGGTGTCATAGTAGTGCAACTCGCCCACATCCTGCTGCTCCTCCTCCTCATCCTCATCATTGTCATCCTCTTCTTGGACCGCCGATGCCCGAATCCTTCCGATATCATAGCTGCCATAGTATCTGGTTTCCGGCTGGGATGGACCAAGGAAATTTCTCTTCAGTTTGCGGCCAATTGTTGGCAATGTTCTTGGTGTTGCTGTTGTCGGAGTGGTTGATGTTGATGGTGTTGTTGTGGTGGTGGTGCTGCTACTAGTGGTTTCTGTTGTGGCCAAAGTGGTGGGGATTGGGACCTTGGTGGTTGCTGATGTGGCTACTGGGTATTTTTTGGCCAATTCATCATTGTCAATGGCCGACTTAATGTCCTCGTCGTCGCCTTCTTCGTCGTCGTCGTTTTCGTTCTCGTTTTCGTTTTCGTTGGGCAATGCTTCATCATTATCCAAATTGTCCTCGATATCACCAATGGCCTCATCCACCTGTCTGGACTTTTCCTGCTCCTTCTTCGGGAACTTGTCCGTCGATTCGACCGATGGCTTATTAAATTTTCGTTCATTTAATATTTCAATAGCATCAAACAGCTGTGACGGCGGGTATTCCCCTAGTAAATCACCATCATCGCCCCGCTTCCTCTCCTTTTCCTGTTGACTTTGTTGCTGTTCGTGCATGTTCTTTAATTTTTTATGCGCAAAACTTTGCCTGCCAAAGTTCGCGTTGTCGTCCTCCTCGCCGGAAGTGAATTTGGATTTTCCGCCGCCACCGAGAACAAGCGTTTCCATCTTTACCGATTTTCCAGAAGCAGCAGTTTCCTTCGGTAGCCTTCGGTTCTCTTTATTGTTTTTCAATTTGTAGTTGTAGTGACTTATATTGTTCTTCTTCTCCTTGGAACGCTTCTGGTTTTTGTTATTTTGGTATTTCTTAGCGTCCAGGTAAACACTGAAATTCCTTGAAGTGGGCCTTTGAGATTCAAGTACCTGCAAGTAGTCGCAATGCACAGAGCGGAAAACCGGGTTAATATTGTATGTGGAAAAAATTAGTTAAGTTACAGTCATTGTCTGATTATCTGAATGGTATGATATACAATATTTGTTGTATCCATTTTTTTTTATAGACTCCCATTTCAACACATTTATAAGTAACTACCATACTTTTCTGACTAAAGATAATTATTTCTGATGGTTCAAAAAATTGGGGAACCCATAAAACCCATATTAAATCACTTAAAACCCAAAGCTTAACGTTGCAGTGCACAAATAAAGAATAGGTACTTAAAAAAATGGAAAACAAAAACGAAATAAACTCAAAGAAACCTTTTCCTTGGGAACTCTCTTAAGAATTTCTGGGTGGAATTTTTTTGGGCGGAAAAAGCGAGGTGTGGGTGCACATGTGCACGTAGACAATAAAATGAAAGTTTCATTTCGAGCCCTCAGCTGCTTTCCACACTCAACTCAAGTGTCTGCAAATCGTTGATTAAATGGGGGAATTGCAATTCCGAGAAATTGTCAATGCAATGGTTGTAAGATCTAGTAAGTGCATTCTAAAGTGCTAAACGGTGTTTTCGAATTCTTACAATGCCACGTTTCTGGTTTTACAGGTTTTGCCGTCAGTCTTCATTCATATTAAAATTTTTTCAAATTTTTAACAAAATTGGGCATAGTTTCTGTTATAATTTTACTTGTGTATTTTTATATTTAATTTAGTCCTCACACCTTACGTGATCTTAAGCTTTTAAGGTATTGACCAGGGCCTCCTTTTGTTCCTATGCAGCTTTTATGGCAATTATTTTTCTGGCTAAATTTTGGTTTCAAAAATGCTTTCAAGTGCTTGGCTCTTGCTCTTCTCGACTTTGGTCCCATTTTTTGCTCAAGTGAATTTCAATGCAGGGATTGACTATTGGGCTAAGCTGTGTGGGCCATCATCCCTCACCTTCTTCGGCTGAAAAAGTAATTTGACTTGGCCGCTCGCATTGTGCGACATTTCAAAGGACACCCCTTAAAGCCATGCCCCCACCCACCGGTCCTCTATCACCCCACTTGGTTCAATAGAACTGACCTCATTCGGAATGGACTTGACTGTAGGCTCGGGGCTCTCTAAAAAGCATCTGCGTGTACTTATGTTTGTCTGTGTACACTAAAAAAATGTCATAAAATGAGAAAAATTCCGTATTCAAACTAGAATTCGTTGAGTATTTGAACACCCGAAACGGACTTTATAAGAAAAACATTTAAATTATATTATTATTCGTAATAAAAAAGGTGCACCTGGGTTTTGTAGGCGCTAGAGCAGGCATTATTGAGAGGTATAAAGCTTTAAACCCATTTATTTTAAACCTAGTTAAATGATTTCACCAGCTATATTTTTTGTTAATAAGTATAGTACTTATGTTACTAAGTTTTGAATGGCGCCCAAACAGGGACCTTTTGATGAATACATCATTTGTTACTTTAAATCGTTTAATAGGGTGTTCAAAGGTTATAAATGATTACTGTTAAAAATTATCAAACGATTTAACATGGAATATATTTCATTTTAAGTTTTCATGAATTCACCCGTTATATTTTTTGTTAAAAAGTGTAGTACTTTTGGTACTAAGTTTTGAATGGCACCCGAACAGGGACCCAATGCTTTTGATGAATACATCTCTTGTTACTTTAAATCATTTAATAGGGTGTTCAAAGGTTTTAAATGATTCATTTTAAAACTTACTAAACGATTTAACCAGAAATATATTTCATTTTAAGTTTTCAAGGTTCAGGTCCCTGCTCGGGCGCCATCTGTGCATATTTTTTCAAGTGCATTGTCATGTGTGTGTACTCACGATATCAGCTGCCTCGGATGCATCCTCGTCCTCCTCCATCAGCCCCACATCCTCGTCATCTTCGGCGGCGGCGGCATCTTCCTCCTCGCCGGTGGCAGCTGCAGCAGATGGAGCATATTGAATGTGGGCCGAGTCGGCGTCCTCATCCCCAATGTCTCCGTCGTGCTGGTCAAATATGTCCTCCGGAATGGAGGCCTCTTCTTGCAAATTGAAATCTGCAAGGCGAAAGCGAGAGGTGAGATGAGTGAGGGGGCGTCATTCAGGTGGGTAGACAGCAAAGACGCCACAGTCCCCACAATAAAATAACATAGAAAAGGTCAGCAGCCACAGCATCTCAAGTACATTCCGAAAAAAGGATATATACATATATGTACACCCCTGGATGTGTGTTCTTTTGCCGTTTACTTAAATAAAAGTAAGCTGCTTGAATTGACTTCCACTTGGGGTCGTCCTGCGAGCGGATATATATGCAGATATATGTAGATATATCCGTGTGAGGCCGCATGCATGACCTGGGCAAAATAGGTTTTTACTCATAGTTGAATAGACAAGAATTCTTTTTTTTCCACCCGTGGGGTGAATCTTTTATGCTCTGTCATTGACTGAATTGCCATTTGGGGAAACTCAAGAAAGGACGCGGGGAGTGATGAGGTGATGGGACCGGGAACCCTCGTATGCAGGATTAAAATAAAAATGGCATTATGTTGTGCGTGTGTGTGGGGGGCCAAACGAGCGATAAAAGACAGCGCAAATTGCCAATGAAATTTGCCTTTTTTTGGGGTTGGAAGACACAAACGAAAGTATTATAGTACATCATTACATTCGGATTTCATAGTTTGCTTTGTATTTTAGATTATTTCAAAATAAATGAAACGTAGCTTCTCGAATTAAACAATAGCAATCAATAAAATTATAACAATTAATTGAGGTATGATTAATAGCTTCCCAGTGTTTGAAGGACTGCATCTCCTGAGGGGCCTCACTGACATTGCTTTCCTGTTTTCTTTATTTGTCCATTGTCCACACCTGCCGGGGGATTACAGCCAAGTTAATAATTTGACCAGGCCAGATGTTGCCTCTTCTAGGCCTCTCGAATTATGGAAATTTTATTCAGCACGCCCTTTATTATTGCCGCTCTGGTTTTGGGTCGTGTTTGTGCGACTAATTAAATTCTTTTTACTGTGATTAAATTAACACAAGCTCGGTAAACACTCACACAGCCAATCTCCGGAGACGAGCCTACTCTCCGGCCATGGAAAGCAGTGAAAGAAACGCCGCCGGTGAAAGCAAAGTTGAGCCGAAGTGAGTGAAGAGCAAAAAATGCGAAATAAAATCACGCAAATGCTTTTTATGTCCCTCGACGCTCTGTGGCGACACATTTGTGGAGGGGTAGACGGGGCGTAAAGATTGGGGAAATGGGGACTACGGAATGGGGACTACGGACTGCGGAGTTGGTAGGCAGAGGCGCTCAAGTGGGCGCCGCATTGAGGTTATCGTCATCGCACAGTGGGAGGAAAACGGAAACAAACCATTAAGAAATAAGAAAAAACCAAGTTAAGTAAATAAAGTAAACAATGTCAATTTTGGAGATTTAAAAACTCCAATTTCAACATATTTAGATCACTGAAATCTCCCAAAAAGGGGACTTAAAGTATGCTGAAAAACATTTCGGTCTAAAATATATTGTAGCAAACTTTTTGACTATATCTTAGTTATTTGTGTAGTACATTTTAGTGGGCTACAAAAAACGAGTGCATGATTTCAAATCTCTAAAATTTTTTCTTTAGTTTAATATTTTTCATATGTTGCTGAGAGCCAAATGAATTTATCTAAGAAATGAAACGGGTTCATTATTTGTGTTCCACTTGACCCCACAGTGTTTCGGTGTGTCATCGCCTTTGTTGCCCGGCTGTCGAGTGGTTGGCTGCTTCATCTGTCCTTCCAGGCCCCCCACTAGTGAAGCGAGGCCCTCCGCCCCTGGTTATCCTTGCACCCCTGGCTGCCCTCTCCTTCTATGACTGTTTCATGGAATAATGAATAAATGTCGCATTAATTTGCACGCAGACCCAACGGGGGTTAGAGGGCAGGGGGAAATGGTAGATACCAGTGGAGGGGAAAAGGGGGGGGGGAAATGAATGGGGCACGTTCTGCACTGACTTTGCATGTGGAACGCTTGTTTTTCCTCATAGCTTTGGAGGCAAACAACGCAAATCCATGCCAAACACTCACGCACATATATTGCATGTACGTGTATGAATGTCATACAAAATCGCGTAAACAAAGTGACCCCTAGAAATGCCCCCTTACAACCCCTTCTTTTGCCACCCCTTTTACCCCTTTCCACTGCCATTGCATATTTGAATTTTGTGGCACTCCGGAGTTTAATTATTATGCTTGTAATGAGCATGTTGCATATTTTAGCAGGCCCACAGTCTGCTTTGCTTAACCCCTCCCAGCGGTTTTCCCTTTTCTATTTTCCCCAACCCCCCTCTGGCTATTTCCTCTATCCACTTTGGGCTAATTAATAGACAGACCGGACAGATGATTCTGTTTCATGCAGTGCAGCACAGCGGGTACTCGCCGCTCGTTTTCCCATCGCCCTGCCTTAATTAACCCATTATGGCCTGTTGATTTTTAGCCCCGGCCCTCTTTTGCACCTCTGGCTGTTCGCTTACAACTTTTTGCATAATTATCCAACGATCTATTTGTCCATTAACCTGAGCAATTTGTTGGCCATCGCCCGTAAGCATTTTCCCATTTTACTTAAAGCATAAAACATTGCCTACTTTTGGGTGGTCAAAGCCACCCAGGGGGCATTTTTTACGAACCACAAAAATGAGATTATTAGAAAAGGGGGCAGCAAAAAAAGAAAAACCTTTAAACAGAAGTAAACCAAAAACCAAAAATAAACAGGGAAAATCTGCTTCTGAATAGCCAACCAAATAAACGAACGCTGTGTTAGATAACGTTTCGCATGGAATTTTGCTGGTGCCCTCAGATTAGAAATGGTTGAATAATCCCAACCATTATGGCTTTAACATATCTAGGGGCACTTATTGTTTTGTACGTTTTGGGCATGAATAAATGATGGCGAATGCAAGTTTTGGTCAAAGGAAAATTTAATTTAATTGGGTTTTTTCAATGCTAATTAACTGGCAACAGATTTAAAGGTGATAATACTATTTTCGCATAATGGTTTTATTAACTTTCATTTATTTGTAGGATAGCTCCCTGCACTTTTTCTGTTACAATGAGGTAAATCACGTTTTAAGGTGTATAAAAGTATTTTTCGTTGCATACTTGTGGGCACTTTTAAAAGTGATTTCGAAATTCTGATGATTTACGTGCCTCGACTCAAGATGGGGGATGTATTATATTATTATACTCTGCGAAAACTATTTATTAAGACCACCTACGTATAATACTTTTTCCCAAGCTCAGAAAGCTTTGCATTTTTTATGAGACTTGCAATATTATCTCGACATTACCTTTAATAAGATCTGTTTACTACAGAGTAAATTTATTGTGGTGGCGCGCGAAGCCTGGATCCTTTGAGTCCTCTGGTATCCTCTGGTATATGTGTGCGAACTTGAGTGCTGGTGCCCCTTGTCTGGGCCTGTGTGCGTGTGGGTCTCAGTGTGTTTGGCATTTAAATTTATTTAGTGCATAGTTGGCAGCAAGACAACAATGGCGGCCACAAAAGCCACTAAAGTCTAATTAAAATGTCCGCAACCGTAACAATGTGCGGGACAAACCCATTGTTGTTCTTGTTATTCTCGTTGTTGATGCGACAACAAGCAAAAAAGCACCACCCACTCGAACTTAAATGGAATGCCAGAAATTGTTGAAATTGTTTTGGGCGAAATGCAAAAGTTAGCCGCCAACAATCTGGATCACTTGACATCTGTCCTTGAAAAACTCCCATGGGTTGTTGGTTGCTTTGGCCTCCTCTCACCAACGCTCCACGCGGCGTATGCGTAATATATGTCATCGACATTCGTCCTGGTCGTGATGTTTTGTCAATAAAATAACAAACAAACTAAACGTAATCTGCGATGAGCTCTGAGCGGGTAGTCGTGCAACGTGACGTATGCGTAATGTGCTGAGCAGTTTTCCCAAAAAAGGGAAAAGAAGGGATGCAGAAAGTCAGAAGACTAATTCCGACAACTTGCATTCACTCACGTCCAGGGAAGCTGTTATGCCATTGAGTTTGACTTGCAGTTGACTGCTGCTCACAGTACGTAATGAAATGCAAGTCTTGTGGCTTGTGCACCACGGCGTATGCGTAATATTTTAATGGCAAACTCTAATTGGTCGAAAATAAGTTAGGGCTTTAAATTAAAGCAAAATATTAAATTACATACATAAATTAGGTACTTTTTGTGCAGAAATAGTAAGAAATATAACAAATAACAATGTCTCCATACATTAAAATCTATATTTATTTCTTAAAGGACACTGTTGTCATTTAAATGCTTTAAATCTTCTTTAAAATTTTAATGACTGAGCTGCAAAATTGTAATTTAAATTGATTGTTGGCATGAATAAAATGCAAGTCTTTTGGCTTGTGCAACACGGCGTGTGAGCAATATTTTAATAGCAACCTCTAATTGGTCGAAATGGTGTGCTCTAAAAAGAAGTTAAGGCTTGAAATTAAAGCAAAATATTGAATTACAAACATGATTTAGTTAGATTTACTCAAGATATAAATTAAATAATAATATCCCCTTAAATGAAAATGGATGTATTTATTATATTAGGAGGGTTCTATAAAATGTTTGTATAAATTCTTCTTCTGAGGCACGAAAAATGTCAGTGACACAATGCAAGGTTGAGGTATGCTTTGAGGGAAGAAGCCCAGCATGGCAGGCTTACAAAGTGCTACAACTATCGATGTATGAATATGCAATTCAATTTCCAAATAGGATTTGTGTGGCTTACAAGGCACTTCCATTGCCTGGCAAACATTTGCACCGCCTGTGCACCAGCATCGCCAGTGCTTTGTAATCCCCATCTCTAAGTGGGGACAGGAAAACAACCCGCCAACCCTTAACCCATAACCCATAAACCTTAACCCATCAACCACCCCCTTAACTATTCATCGATGTCATGGCATATTTAAACATAAGCCAAGCTAATGTTCCACACACACACACACACATATTGATGTGCTTTGGAAAGTGCAAAATGTTCAAAGCTTCCCATTTAAATCGGC